CCGCCGCCGCCGCCGCCGCCGCCGCCGCCGCCGCCGCCGCCGCCGCCGCCGCCGCCGCCACCACCGCCGCCCCTCCCCCGCCTTTTTCTTTGATGAACTCCCTGCGCCAGGTGCTTGGCCGGGCGCCGAGCCTGCCGAGCGCCCTGCCGGCCGCCGCCGCCGAGGAGGCCGTTCGCCACGGCCGGCGCCGCGTCCCCAGGCCCGGCGCCTCGACCGGTGGCCCCGCCACTGCCTCGGCCGCCGTCACCGGGAAGCCCTCCCCGCCGGCCCGGCTGCGTGCCACCTACCTGCTGGCCGGCGGCCGGCCCGGCATGCTGGTCATCCCCCGGCATCTGTCCTCGGGGACGGTGGTGATCGCGCGGCCGGGCCCGCGCGGCGCACGGCCCTCCCCCCCGGCCCCCGGCGATGCCCAGCCCAAGGCCCACATCCCGGGGCTGTTCCTGCTGGCCGTGGCCTTCGCCGCCTTCTTCGCGGGCCAGCTGCCAGACAGCTCCTTCCGTGCCTTCTCGAAGGCCTTCCCCTCGACGCCGCTGCCGATGTACGGGCACCACCCCATCCGCCGCGAGGGCCTGGAGGAGCCCCGGCATGTTGCCGCTGCGGCCGGCGCCGAGTCGGCCGCCGGGCCCGATGCCGGGGGGCTGATGGCCGGCCGCCTGGCCCCGGCAGCAGCCGAGGCCAGCCTCAACACCACAGGCCACCGGGCCATCGACGGGGCCCCCGACGCGCCCTTCAGTACCAGCTACGCCGACGTGCCGCGGGGGCCTGCCCCCACCTCGGGCCCGGCATCCGTGGCGTCTCCCCTCCTCAGTCGTGATGCCCTGGTCCTGGCCGCCGAGAAGGCCCTCCAGTCGACGGTCAGCATCCGGCTGGTCACCATGCGCGACAAGTGGGGCTCCAGCGGCGAGACCCTTCCCCAGTCCTCCTCCGAGGGGTCGGGCTTCTTCATCTCCGAGGATGGGGCCGTCCTGACCAATGCCCATGTCATCAGCGCCGCCCTGTCGGACGCCGACCCGGCCAAGGTGCGTCGCTCCTCTCCTCTCGCCCTGGTCATCGCCTGCCGGCCCGGCCTGACTGCTGACCTCCCCCCTGTTGGCAGTCTGTCCTCCGGGTGACCGATGCCGATGGCCGGGTCTTCCATGCGGAAGTCCTCGCCGTGGACCCGATCACCGACCTGGCCATCCTGCAAACTTACGCCGCGGCCGGCAGCCAGCCTGCCTCCCGCGTCACGCCGGCCACCTTCTCCCAGCGCAGTGCCGATCTTCGGTGCGATGGCATCGCCCCCTCTGCCCCTCCCTCTCTGTTTCTCTGTTTCTCTCTTTGTTTCTCTGTTTCTCTCTTTGTTTCTCTGTTTCTCTCTTTGTTTCTCTGTTTCTCTCTTTGTTTCTCTGTTTCTCTCCCTGCTTCTCTCCCCCCCCTCTCTCTCCCTCCCCTGGCTTCTTCGCCGTGAGGACTAACCTCATGGCCCCCCTGCCCGATGTGACTCAGACCTGGCGAGTACGTGGTGGCTGTCGGCTGCCCGCTCGGCTTTAAGAACTCCATCTCCGCCGGTATTCTCAGTGGTGCGTCCCCTTTGGGGCGCTCTTCGCGTCATCCATGCCCCCCCCCCCTCCTCCTCGCCGGGCGCATGCATGCTGCCCGTCGCTAACCATGTTTCCCCTGGCCCTCCTTGATAGCCACCACGCGGCGACCTTCGGACGTTGGTGCCGTGGAAAACGGCCTGACCTACCTCCAGGTGCCTGCCTCTCGCCTTGCATGTTCTCGCCGCCTCTTCCTGGCCGCTATGTGGCACTGACACCCCTGGCACAGAACAACTTCCCTCTGAACCAGGGCAACAGCGGTGGGCCGTTGCTCGACCTGGATGGCAATGTCATCGGCATCAACACCGTCAAGCTTAATGGCGAGGGGATTTCGTGCGCGCATTGTCCCCCCCCCCCC